AGAATTCACATTCATGTACTTAATCCAAATAGCAAATAAAATGACAAAGAATAAAAATTGAATTTTCCAAAATATATACTTTAATAAAACATAAACAACATCATATTCTAATTCTATCTATGTCCCGATGTCACATGTCCTATCAGAGCAAAATCCCACATAGAAGCCTAAGCTCCATCGTCCACATCTTCAGCCTCATGCTGATGATGGTCTCCCAATGAACAGATAGCCCGGGCCATGGAGATGATGGCCATGGCTATGCAACAGCAAAATGCCTATTTTGCTAGGATGGAGGCGGAGAGAGTTTTAGCTGGTGCAGCAAGGCCCACTGGGTCACAGGAGAACTGGGACCTGGCTGAGTTCCGGAAATGCCATCCTCCTTAGTTCAAGGGAGAGGCAGATCCAGAGGTGGCTGACCACTGGATTTGTGAGCTTGAGAAGATCTTCACTGTACTGGGATGTTCTCAAGAGAGGAGGCTATCATACGCGGTGTACATGCTTGTTGGAGAAGCCGAGCATTGGTGGAGGGGTACCCATCATATGCTGACTACCAGAGGGGTGGTTATGGACTGGGAGTGCTTCAGAAGGATGTTCTTGGAAAAGTATTTCCCTGAGTGTGTGAGACATGCCAAGGAAGTTGAGTTCATGCGCTTACACCAAGGAGGGATGACTGTTTCTGAATATGCGCTGAAATTCGAGCACCTAGCTCGTTTTTATTCGAAAGCCATAGCTGAGGCTTGGAAGTGTCGGAAGTTTGCTGAGGGTCTGAAATATGATTTGAAGAGGGTGGTGGTGCCTATGGCCATCACGGAGTTTCCAGCCTTAGTGGAGAAGGCAAAGGTTGTTGAGCGAGATTGAGAGGTTGTTTAAGGTTGTGTGATGCTATGTGGTAATGGTGCTATAAGATGGATGACCAAGGTGGAGAAGATCTTTACTGCTATGGAGTGCCCCTTGGTTCATAAAGTAAGTCTGGCTACCTTCTTGCTGGTGGATGATGCTCACTTTTGGTGGGAGGGAGCTAGGTAGAGGATGGTGGGTGTTGGCACCTAACTGAACTAGAAGAACTTCAGGAGGGTATTCTTAGAGAAATATTTTCTAGAAGACGTTAGGTGCCTGAAGAAGATTGAGTTTATGGAATTAAGGCAAAGGGACATAACTATTGCTGAATATACAACCAAATTTGAGGAGTTGGTTCGGTATTGTGCTCACTATCATGGTGATGCTAGTGAGAGGGAAAAATGCATTAAGTTTGTGAACGTTCTTCGTCTCGAGGTAACGACCACTATTAATTACTAAGAGATCTAACACTTTCCGACCTTGGTGAATAAGTGTAGGATCTATGACCATGACAACCAAGTTTGTGTTCCACACTATAGAAGTGTGGGCCCTACTAGGGGTAAGACTTCTAGAGCAACGACTAGGAGCAAGCCCTATTCAGTATATGCACAATTCCAAAGGAGTTATGCTAGAAGAGGTGCTAGCCAATTTGTTGTTGGGTTTTCTACTAGTAGTGTTGAGGCCAGTGTTAGAGGCTCTATCTCTACTACTTAAAAGAAGTGTTGGAGGTGTGGGAAGCTTGATCATCATATTTTCGAGTGTCCAAATAAGGTGCCTAGTTGTTTTTACTATCATGAAAAAGGTCACATTGCTAGTAAGTGTCCTAAGAAGAAAGATTCTAGAGGATTGGCAGGCCCTAGTACCCAATCTAGATGACCTCGAGCTACAGGGAGAGTCTTTTCTCTTAATGGGACTGAAGTTGCTTAGTTTGGTAGTCTAATACAAGGTACTTGTCCCATAGCTAGTAATCCTTTTGTTGTACTGTTTGATTATGGTGCAATGCATTCCTTCATATTTGTCTCCTGTGTTAGAAGGTTGAATTTGCCTATGTCTCGATTGCCTTTTGATCTAGTTGTAGAAACTCCAACTGATGCTCCCATAACAACTTCTAATGTATGTATTCAATGCCTTGTGGTTGTTTTTGATAGGAAGTTCTTAGTTGACTTGATATGTTTATCTCTTAGTCAACTTGATGTGATTATTGGTATGGACTGGTTATCTTCCAACCATGTCCTTTTGAACTGTTTTTGTAAAACTATATCTTTCGGTGAATATAAGTATGATGAATTGATCTCTGCAAGCCATTTCCAATACTATTTGAAAGATAATAATCATGTATTTATGTTAATTGTTTGTATTAAACTCGAGAATAGTAAAGAGTTGAGTGTTATTCTTATGGTGCACTACAAAAAAAATGCCCTATAGTGACACACATTTTATAATGACACAACTTTTAGTGTCACTATAAGCTATTTTTAGCTATATTTTTTCTTATATGTCACTAAACCTTAAACACAACTTTTAGTGTCATTTAAAATTATATTTACCTATATTTTTTCTTATATGTCACTATACAATTATAATTTTACCTTCTTTTTATTTTGTGTCACTATTATATTATTATTAATACTTTTAAAAACAAAAAAAACTTTATTAAATTTGACTAACTATTTTTCTAATATTTTATTATTATTTTATAACTCAGTTATTAATATACGTACCTTAATATATTAAATCTGTCATTGTTTTACTAATATTTGACAAAATATATATTATTAATATTTTGGTATTTGATAATATTTTTATTGATATATTATTTTATTTTATTATAGATTGAAAAATATCTTTATTAATATATTTTAATTATTAATATTTTTGTTTAACGAAAATGCGAAAGAAGCAAATGATACGAGAGTTTTAAGAAAAAACTTTTAAAGGATGCGGCATTGCGGAGACTGCCCACACTGAAGACCAAGCCAATCTCGAAGAAAAAAGTGAACTACATCTCCAGATTCCATTCAAAGGGCCCAAACGCTTTCTCCAAAAACTATCAAGGATTGGGACTTTGTATATACTTATATTCTAGATCCTATAATTATATACTCGCTCTTTCTGTCTGGTGTTTCCGGTGTGTGTGTAGCAACCAGCCGGGTCGTTACACTTTAGTGGTATCAGAGCAGTTCGAGTCTAGTGGACACTCTTTGGGGGTGGTTCCTTTAGGCTTCTGTTGTGTTGAACTCTGAGTTGTGATGTCTTAATGTGTTGATTGTTGTGTTGATTGTTGTGGTGTTTTGTTGTATTGTTGAATTGTTGTTTGGTTTAGATATTGTATACTAAAGATGTTGTTGCTTTTGTAGACAATGTCTAGAGCCAATGAACAGATAGCCCGGGCCATGGAGATGATGGCCATGGCTATGCAACAGCAAAATGCCTATTTTGCTAGGATGGAGGCGGAGAGAGTTTTAGCTGGTGCAGCAAGGCCCACTGGGTCACAGGAGAACTGGGACCTGGCTGAGTTCCGGAAATGCCATCCTCCTTAGTTCAAGGGAGAGGCAGATCCAGAGGTGGCTGACCACTGGATTTGTGAGCTTGAGAAGATCTTCACTGTACTGGGATGTTCTCAAGAGAGGAGGCTATCATACGCGGTGTACATGCTTGTTGGAGAAGCCGAGCATTGGTGGAGGGGTACCCATCATATGCTGACTACCAGAGGGGTGGTTATGGACTGGGAGTGCTTCAGAAGGATGTTCTTGGAAAAGTATTTCCCTGAGTGTGTGAGACATGCCAAGGAAGTTGAGTTCATGCGCTTACACCAAGGAGGGATGACTGTTTCTGAATATGCGCTGAAATTCGAGCACCTAGCTCGTTTTTATTCGCAAGCCATAGCTGAGGCTTGGAAGTGTCGGAAGTTTGCTGAGGGTCTGAAATATGATTTGAAGAGGGTGGTGGTGCCTATGGCCATCACGGAGTTTCCAGCCTTAGTGGAGAAGGCAAAGGTTGTTGAGCGATTGGAAGGTGGTAACCGCGGGGTGAAGACTGTTGAAGGGCCATCCGGGTCCAAGAAAGGAGGGAACCAAAGGAAGTCGTATGATAGGCCCCAACCTCAACAAGGGGGTCCTGTCATTAGGCAACCTTCTGGTGTTGTTGGTGGAGGAGGACAGGGTGGAGGTGCTGCCCTGAGATGTTACAGGTGTGGAGGGCCCCATATGATTAGGGACTGTCTTCACACAGAGAACCGGTGGTTCAGGGGCCAGCAGATGGGATGACCTCAACAGTGTGCCTCAGACATTTCATTCCAAAGGACGAAGTTTTTTTTCTGAACTACTGCTATTACTTTGTAGTTTGTACCCGTTATTCAATGGGAAAGGTAACAATTTTCATTTTGTTTTGCTCTCCTAGGACTTCCGTTTCCCGTCTCTGATAAATGGTCTTTCTAAGTTGTTTCTCATCTGTTTATTTTACTTTTAATTACTTCAATATCAACTCAATTTCAACATGGTATATCAAGGAGTAGTTTTCCAGTGCATTAACGTGTAATTGGAGTACTACTGAGTGTATAGTATGGAATCTGTTGTTAGGCCACAATGGGCATTTTACCACAACACATTGCCTTCTGAGTGAAGTTTGATCTTTAGCTTAGAAATTATGTTCTAAATCCTTTTGCTGATTTAACCATCTTGACAAGTCCTATCATCGAATACCTATAATGTTTTGGAAAACAAATAGATGAGAATGATGTATAGATGCGGGCACGTGGAAAATGTTGAATGAAAATGCTGAGTTCAAGGCTCTTGCCCCGAAAGAAATTCACACAGCATCTGATGGAACAAGAAAGGTTAATTTACATAGTTGTAAATATTTCCCAACAAAAAAATGATACATAATTCATTCATTCACAGTCCTTCAACTTCAGTTTAACAAATTCTTCCAACACTTCCTTGTACACATCACGCTTGACAGTCCTTCAACTTCATATCAACAAATTCTTCCAACACTTCCTTGTACACATCACGCTTCATAATTGCTTTGTCCCTTTCCTTTTTGGTAGCTTGAAGCTCCATTTTAAGAACTTCAGACTGCAAAGACAGGTCTGAAAAATCACTTGCAGAATTGGAGCTCCCGCCTTTGTGGTGGCTCCCCATCAGATCCTTCACCTTCAATCGAATGGGACAGCTCTATGATTCACAAGAATAGTGGACCAAATATAAGTAATATAAAGAAACACATTGAATAATTATAGCAATTATAGCAAGGAATGATACTTACTAATTTCAAACAATAACAAAAATGTTCACCAATAGTTGCTTTGCAATCTGAAATTTTAAATTCCATTGGTACTTATAAACATTATCATGCATAATTTATTAAATAACAAATTAACACAATGATAAAATCAACATTGAATTAACAATAAATAGATATCCAACATAATAATTGTAACATTCAAACAAAACATTCCCAAAATTATAAAATAACAACAGATAATATAGGCATTATGTTGGGGCAGCATAGGTGGTTGGGACAGCAGAGATGGAGAAGCAGAGCACCTAGGACAGCAACAATCTGTATTAGTGTATTAGTATAAAGTAGAATAATCGTTGCTGATATTAAAATTATCAAGTTCAATTACCATATTGATCATGCATAATTTATTAAATAACCAAGAATGGACACTATCTTCTTAAATGGACCTTATTTTACGGCACTGGACTGGACACACTTAATCAGAAGAGAAGTATGCTGCGGTGAGTGATGTAGGGACCAAATTAGAATCAGGTCAATATTATAAGAACCAAAAAATTTTAAGCCAGAAAACAAACTCACGTACTTTAATTGCTAATGGTACCAATTGCTTTTGTATGAAGCGACTAATTGATCGGTAAAGTAAAAACAGAAAAACCATATTCTTTCACCATGATAAATATGATACAGTAAGCGCAGCATGAAGCCAAGGTATGAAAGAAAGGGCAGGAAGTTGCATACTTACATTCGAAACACTGATGATACTCAATCAAGATCTTCTTGCCTGGTTTCTGGCTGATTAGAATCCCCAGTAGTGTTTCCATTGTTATTGCTCGTCTCCGCAACGGAAGAAAACTGCCTAAAGGGCCAGGGCAAAGAAACCCTAAAGCTCCGCTCGCTGGGTGACTGTGAGGTGTCTGTATCAGCAGAAGAATCAGCACTAGCAGCTGTAGATTGACCGCGAGCCCTTTGCTCGTAGTCAGGATCATCAGTAGGTAACTCATACCGACACACAGGACAAGAATTGTGCAATTCCAGCCAAGGCAGGATGCAATCAGAATGATAGATGTGTTTGCAGGGCATCTGCTTGGCCAATTCCCGAAGCTCGAACGTGTCTTTACACACCGCACACTGTGATGAATCCGTGGCCAGCAACTCCTCCGTAATTGGGATGTTAGGGAGCCCCTCGATGGCAGACTTGGAGGCCGGGGGTGTCCCATACCGGTTAGGATCGTTCTCCGCAAGGTGCTGAATCAATTGCTCGAGACCCGGCCCAAAGAAGTAATCACCAAGGTTGAGATTTGCGGGGAGACGAAATGCTCCGGTGGGGTCCCCAGAGTTGTCAATTACGAACTGAACATTAGCGCCACCGGCTCTCAGGGTTTGAATGTAATTCTGAAGAAATACCACCTCCATCCTTCTTCTTTACCAACAACACAGGAGCACCCCACGGCGAAACGCTCGGCCGCACCAACTGTTTCTCCAATAGGTCCTCCAACTGACCCTTCAACTCAACTAACTCAGCAGGAGCCATCCTGTAGGGAGCCACCGACACTGGCCCCGCACCTGGTACCAAGTCAATGCTAAACTCCATCTCCCTAGTAGGAGGCAACCCAGGCACTTCATCCGGGAACACCTCGACAAAATCTCGCACAACATCAATCTCCTCAACAACTCTCTCAGTCTCCACACTCATAGCAGCAAGCAGAAGACAACACTCTACTCCACCCCTTAACAATGATTCAGCTTGGCTAGTTGAAATCAACAACTCATCCTCCTCCTGAGGAAAAATCAACCGCCTATTGGCACAATCTATAAGGATACGATTGGCAGATAACCAATCCATCCCTAAGATTATGTCAATATCAACTAAAGGAAAACAAATCAAGTTTACCTTATACCTCTTCCCATTCACATCAATAGGGCAACCAGCACACAACTTAGAAGCAACTACTGAAGTAGAAGCGAGCGTCGACACTAGCAGTCTCAACCCCAAATCACATACAGGTACACCCAGCATAGCAACACAAGCATAAGAGATAAAGGAGTGAGAAGCTCCAGAATCAAACAAAAATACCACATCCTTACTTAGAAGCAACTACTGAAGTAGAAGCGAGCGTCGACACTAGCAGTCTCAACCCCAAATCACATACAGGTACACCCAGCATAGCAACACAAGCATAAGAGATAAAGGAGTGAGAAGCTCCAGAATCAAACAAAAATACCACATCCTTACCAGCAGCTCTGCCCTTCCCCTTCACAAGATCAGAAGAAGTCGAAGCCTCAACACCTGTCAGAGCAAAGACCCTCATGGAATTCATAATAAACATGGAAGATGCTCTCCAAAATTCCAATGTTGAAGAGGAAATAGAGGGTTGGGGTGAACATTTCTTCTAAATTGTTTTCTTCTAATATATAAGGTATGTAATTTTTTTTGTTATACTTTTACTTTATATGTGTATTTGTTGTTGTTGTTATTATTATCATTATTATTATTATTATTAATATGTTTTTAAATATATATATATATATATATATATACACTAACATGGCTTTGGATTATATGTAGATATCATGGGGAGATGCAAAAAATTGCATACTATTCATAAAAATGAATCTCAAGTTAAAAAGCTACCAATTGATAACTCTACTGGAATTACTATGCAATATCAAGAACACAATCCTTCTATTTTAGAAAATAATATACAATTTGGAAGAGTTATACAATTCTTATTAACTTAATTTCTTATATTTTATATTAAAATTTAATACTTTTTTAATTGTAATAGATGCTACAAGTGATCCTATGACATCAAATCTTCATCTCCAGACTCAAGAGATGAGTCATGTTGAATCTCAAACCATTCTTGGTATAAAAGAAACTATAAGAGGAGGTAATTAAGTTTTATTGTACTTATTTTATCTTTAATTTTTCCTTCTTTTGTCTTTGTATTCCTAATATTTAGTGCAAAAGAGCACATTTATATCCTTGAGGCAAGTTTATCCCTTATATTTTATATTCTCAATTTTAATTTTATTATAAAGTTTTTTTTTCCAATTCATTATAATAGGGTTTATAAGAGATCATATGGTGTCAAATGATAATCACCAGCCTAGCCAATTACACTTAGAGCAACAAACTGAAGACTTTAATCATGTTGAATCTGAAACTTCTCTTGATAATACAAGGACAACTTTTAATGGAGGTAACTAGCAACTTTTACTATATAGCAATATGTAAGTCAATTATTCTTTTCTATTTCACTCCTCCATATCCATATTCTTTGTTGTTTTCTGAACAATTTATTTACGATATTTTTTATAATATTATTTTGAAAAAGTTATTTAATTAGTTAAAGAGTCTCAACTCATTAAAATTTTAGAAATAATACTTTGTAGCTATAAAGTTCGATTAATGTAAGACAGCAGTAGCAATAATGTAGCATAGTGTTTTAACTAGTCTTGACCGCTTGAATATATAGTAGTATTCTTTTTACAATTTGATTTCACAGTGAAACCTGTGTGAAATCCTCCAATTTGATTTCACCTTTTTATGTCCAACTTAATATTCCCAGTTTATCCGCTGTCAATTGGAGGTCTTTGGGCTGCATGGGCTGCTGTATTGGACTTAGTTTCTTAAACTTAGAGTTTTTTTTTCCTTTTAAGATGAGTTTTTCTTCTTCAATATTTTATTATAATTTCTTTTCATCAGCCACTCCTTGGTTTCCACTGTTCTGTTAATTCTGTATTAAGCACTTGTGTGACAGTTATAGTGTACATATACATATATACACATATGTGATTTGGGGTTGAGACTGCTAGTGTCGACGCTCGCTTCTACTTCAGTAGTTGCTTCTAAGTTGTGTGCTGGTTGCCCTATTGATGTGAATGGGAAGAGGTATAAGGTAAACTTGATTTGTTTTCCTTTAGTTGATATTGACATAATCTTAGGGATGGATTGGTTATCTGCCAATCGTATCCTTATAGATTGTGCCAATAGGCGGTTGATTTTTCCTCAGGAGGAGGATGAGTTGTTGATTTCAACTAGCCAAGCTGAATCATTGTTAAGGGGTGGAGTAGAGTGTTGTCTTCTGCTTGCTGCTATGAGTGTGGAGACTGAGAGAGTTGTTGAGGAGATTGATGTTGTGCGAGATTTTGTCGAGGTGTTCCCGGATGAAGTGCCTGGGTTGCCTCCTACTAGGGAGATGGAGTTTAGCATTGACTTGGTACCAGGTGCGGGGCCAGTGTCGGTGGCTCCCTACAGGATGGCTCCTGCTGAGTTAGTTGAGTTGAAGGGTCAGTTGGAGGACCTATTGGAGAAACAGTTGGTGCGGCCGAGCGTTTCGCCGTGGGGTGCTCCTGTGTTGTTGGTGAAGAAGAAGGATGGAGGTAGTCGACTTTGTGTAGATTACCGGCAGTTGAATAAGTTGACCATTAAGAACAAATATCCACTGCCACGGATAGATGACTTAATGGATCAGC